AACCTGCAGTCAATTAATGTCCCATAATTTTCGACTTCGAATGCGAACGATCGCAGGCTCTCCGAACTTGTCATAAGGTTTTTCGACTTTTAATTGCTAATAGGTATTTTGATCGGTGACCGTTCTGGCCGCCGAGGGTTGTTCCGTTCAGTTGTTTAATCATTGTGGAAATGCCGCCTCGGCGGAGCGCGTCAAATGAAAACCGATACCGATGCGACGAATGGCGCAGGGCGAAGTGGCGATGATCCTTGGCGTTCGTTTAACGATCGATCGATCGATCGATCTGCCGGATTTTGTGCCCCGGCGATCGGCAGCTAATTTCCATGTCTGAGTCTGGGATCCATCTTTGTTGGATGCTGCTCGGCCTCTTTTACGGCTGCCTCCGCTGCGGCGTCATTAGCATTTCGAGATTTAATCATCAAACATGGCGCAGCCTCGGATCTTCAGCGCGGCCAGCTGGGATCGCGATCGGGCGGCGGTAATGACGGCATGTTCTGTCCTTTGTTTGGCTGCTTGTCATACATGCGCTTTTATCGACCTTTAAAATAATCTATAAACGGTCGAGCAGCGGAGATTCCATCAACCTGGGGCGCCGTTCGGCAAATCGGCTTAGAACAGTTCGGTGGCAAGTCGGTAATCGGATACATCCCCATCATAAATGCCTCCGAGATCGCGGCATTATATAAAAAGCAAGTGGTGCTTATGAAAACTCCCAGTGCTTGGAAATATTTGTAGGCATTTCTTTCCTTAGAACTGTTGCAAGAGTTAAAAGAAAGTTGCAAGCAAATGAAGCAACTATCTCCTGAGGACGTCGCCAACCTATTGAGCGGCAGACCCAACCTATTTCCTTTAGGTCAGTTAAAGCCAGCTGGACGCAGCGCTTCCTGCTCCTTCGAAACCCTCGATAAGCCCTGCCCAAGAAATACAGCATTTTCATTGATTTCAATTTGCCTGCGTTGCGACGCCATATTTCAATTTCTGACCGACACACAATTTACAAGCCATAGCATGTGTCTCCAACTCTGGCCCAGCCATTCATGCGACCATCTCTTTCTCGGGCGCTATGCCCCTCTCTTTCTCCCTGGCTGGGCGGGCGAAGGGCGATGGGCGGAGGACACTGGACAGACAGCTTAATTGATGAACAAAGGCGTTCGGGCCAAAAGTTTTGCGTTTGTTTAAGAGATAGCCCTGCGATGTCTGGGTCCTGGACAGTCTTTTTGCCGAGCTTGAAGTCGAGGACTTGCAGAAGTCGTACAAAATATTTAACACCCGCTGAGCGTATTTATGGGAGAATGAACCTGTGCGCCCCGTCCTACCCATCCCATTTCCCTTCCCAGTTCCCACCGCCCCAATCCCAACCTCCTCCTCCTCGTCCTCGTCCGTCAGCGTCCATGTCTTAGCTCCACCATTTTGTCTTATACGGGGGCCAGCATGTGTGCACAGGAGCGCCGAGAAAGTTGCGGGATGTATATTTTAAAAAGTTTGTTTAAAATATTTAGTTTAGTGAAATTCGGTGAAGTTCGAAGGTCGGCTAGTGAAATTTAGAAATTGTAGAGCCCGCTTCGAAAATGTAGGTTTGTCCTTACAACTCCTTACAATATTCTGGCCACCCCTGGCCCTTTAGATCCGCTACTGATCTTCGGACTCCTTGTGGAAGCTCCTCCGCGTCCATGTGCCTCCTGCTCCCCCACATAGACATGTGTGCCTTTCTCGCTTGCACTCCTGCAAGATTTGCAATTCCAATTGGCGCGATGTCTGCTCCTGCTGCTGATGATTAGTTGTTGGCTCTGGGACCGCCGCGCTCCATCGCCCTCTCGCTCTGCCCACAAGCCCGTATGGCCCTCTCTGTCTGGTCTGCAGCGGCTTTCTATGGTGCGTCCGCGTTCAACCTTCTTTTTATTGCACACACGATGCAATTATTTGTTTTATTAACTGTTGAACATGTTTTCTCCGCCGTGTTTTCCCACTGATATATACATAAGTCGCTTCCAAATTGTAAATTGCAAATTTTATTAATTCCTGCCCATGGGAAACTCGTTCCCCAGCGAACGCGCTCCGTGTGCGGTTCTGCTCGACTAGGATTGGGCTTGGCTCGACGCTTCGGGATGATGCACAGTTTCCAGTGTCGACTGCTGTGGAATGGTCTCCACCTAATAGGGTTTCTGTGGACGGTTTGGCAGGCAGTTAATGGTAATTGTCGAAGAAGTTTTTTGGATTTACACAACAGCGTAGGTAGAAATGTTGCTGTGAACTTTGCCCAATCACTTTCCACTGAAGGTATTTAATTCCCCCCCCCAAGGAGTGACACTCTCGGGCAGAGGAAGTGACCATTTTTTATTGGCTAAGCCCGAAAGAGGTTGATTTGCATAAAAAGCCAAACCAAAAAGCGATTCTCCCACTCCCACTCCCACCCACTCAGTAAACAAAGGCACAAGGGCCAAAGTGAAATCAACGACCTCCACATGAACTGCGCCAAAAGATTAATCAGCTAAGCAAGCATAATAAAAGGCTAAGCGGCATTTTGCGACGTTTTGATAAATATCGAATCAGAATAATGCGCGCATACAATTAATCATGATTAGGGTGGTCAGAGGCGTAGGTGGGGGAATTAGCCAGTGTTAATGATCAATAAATGAGGCGGCAGGCTGGAGTCGGAGAACAAGTGCTCGCCGTCACACGCCATTCTCGAATTAGTGGCCAGCAGCAAGAAGGAGTAAGGCCCCTGCCCTTCCGCCTCCAGATCACCCCTCATGGCTAAAACTCTCCTGCCCAAAAACCAAAAACGTCACATAATCGCAGAAGTCAAATGCAAATGTATTAGATCCCTGCACCACCCCGATTGGAATTTATTTACGCATAAGTTAAGGTCCTGCTAAGGGAATCCCCCAAAGTGTATTTATACCCGTATTCAGGACCTTCATTGAGTTCCCTTGTGTGGGAACTTTAGCATGCGGTCTTGCATCAGTCAGGATCAGTTAGTTGGGTGAGAAATCGATCCCTTCTCCACGCTTTCCCAACCACTTTTCCACTCGATGTGAGTAAGGTGCAAGGTGCAAGGACACGATGCAACCAGCTCAAAGAGAACAAAGAACAGCTGATTTTCCAACCTGATCAATGAAATGAATATATAGAATCGTTGCAAATGCAAAGAGCGTACATTTTTACTATTCATGGACGTCTTTTTTCTTGCCCTCTTCCGCAGACTTGTTTGTTTATGCGAAATTTAATCAAAATCGGTGTTAAGCCGTGTTTATTCACATAGGCCCCAAGGGTGACATTCGGTGGCGTTTAGCACGTGCAACCGCCGCCAGCAAGGCCGTTTGGTGGGCGGCGGTGGAGGGGGTGGTTCGGCCGCAACCCTTAATTGCGCGTGTAATCAGTTGGACAAGGGGTTGCCCACCGCGGAGCACGGGAAAATCGGAGGAGGCGGACTAATGCCCTGTAAATGCAACTAAACAGCTTGTGCGAAGCATTAGGGCGAGGAGTGCCGAGGGATTTGACTTCGGGGCGGCGTAAAGTGGCGTTGATTATGTGATTCCGATTTGATTTGATTTGATTAGATTGCTTGCATTAGCGAAAGATTGATGGGGCATATGTCAAATAACATGTAAAATGAAAAGCATGTGGGCAGATAAGTTGCGTACTTCGCTTCAAATTTATTGTGAAATGCAATTTGCTGCGTCGGACTAACAAGCTTTGCATTTCATTGCCATGTTTTGGGGGTTACGTGGGACACTCTGTTTTCCTGTGGCTATTTTAATTACTCTCCTAAAACATGCATGAATTCTATGAAATGCTTTAAAGATGTGACTGTGTAAGTCAGAGATGGGAGTTACTAAATTCAGCACGTTAAGCTATTAAGCTATAGAGATAACTTTCTTTCAATTTACTCTTTTAATTTACTTCTGTTTATTTTTGTTTCCATCCGGACGTGAACTTTTCTTTTAGTGTAACCAGCATCAGAAGCCTAAAGAAGCTTAAAGCTTTTTGTACAGCGAATTGTCTTGAGGGAATAGATGTTGAAGCTCGCGTATTAGATAAAAACAGTTAAAAAAAACAAAAAATAAGCGCCGCTTTTGAAAATTATACAGCCACGCTTGATTTCTAGCAAAGACATTAACCTTTTTCAGGGCTGCATTCGCTAAAACGAAATATACATATTTATATAAACGGCAGATGTCTCCGCTAATCTGGAAGGTGTATTCGCTGAATACAGCAAAAATCGCATGCGATTTGAATCTTACCGTTGACGCCTTTTTCTTAATTTGTTTCGCATTTCACGTGCCCTCTGGCCTTCAAAAAAGAAATGAAAATATATACACTTTATAAAATTTAGTCATTTAAAACGAACTATATTAAAATCCCTGGTTTATTTTCAGTAATTACGTTCAAAGGACGAAGTATTATGAAATGGCTTGCGTGTTCAAAATAATCAAAAAAATGTAATAATTGAGCTAATGGGCATTAGAGTGGGCTGACCAATGACTACGGCCTAGTATTCAGGCCACTTCATATACAATTTTGGACAGTAATTTTATATATTCTATGATCGCACTGTCGATAGACCGCAAGGTTTTACTTGCATTGAATCAAATCTGTAAATGAGTTTTTATCATTCATCAACTATAGCATTAATTTATATTTTTTGTTTATTTACATTGTCAGTTCTTAATAGTTATGTATTTTGGTTTAGCCGGTGAGACCATATCTGTAAACAAAAATTATACCATATTACTTGGTCCCCAAGAAATATATGGCTGAACATATATATTATTTTTGGGCCAGCTTCTGTTGGCTGAGTACTGGGCCTTAAGTAATACATTATATTGTTATTTCACTTGCACTTGCTTCCCCGTTATTGGATTTCTGTTGCTGTCCAGACAACCCTATTATTTTTTGTTTATATATATTTATATATTTTATATTTTTATATATTTACAAAAGCAATCGATAACATTCAGTGTTTTTGGTTGTGTAAAATACTAATTATTTTTAACCGACAGCAGCGCTTTGACACTAGGGATCTGTGATCTGGTAACACTGTTCCGTACGCTGAAACTCGCAGCATTACATTTAAAATAAACAATTCTTGCCGTAATGCAACGCGTAAGTGTTGTGGAGCCAGTCACGTTCAACGTAAAACTTCAACTTAACAAAATCATTCGTTCCAGGGCATTGACACCTTCTTCAAACGACTGCCGGCCAAGCCGAAAAGTGCCGAGGACGAAAATGGAGAGACGCCGTCCAAGGCGCCAAAACGCAGGAAGGCCTTGATCATTTCCAGCGATGAGGACGAGGTGGTTAGTCCGCCGGAGACCAAGAAACGTAAGGCTACGAAGGCAGCATCCAGCGAGTGTGAAGTGGTGTCCGCCTCAGAGCCGGAAGCGAAGACAGTCGGGAACAGACAGAAACCAGCGCTGTCCAAGCTTAAGAGGCACGTGGATCCTACTGAGCTTTTCGGCGGAGAAACCAAGCGGGTGGTTGTACCCAAACCGAAGACCAAAGCAGTTCTCGAGTTCGAAAACGAGGACATTGACCGGAGTTTAATGGAAGTTGATCTGGACGAGAGTATCAAAGAGACTGCGCCGGTAAAAAAGCGTCAGTCGCATACAAGGAGCTCTCCCTCCCCAAAAAAAGCAAAAAGAAGCAGTCCGGAACCGCCTAAACCCAAGTCAATTAAATCGAAAGCCACCACTCCGCGAGTGAAGAAGGAGAAACCTGCGGCAGATCTGGAATCCAGTGTCCTAACAGACGAAGAACGCCACGAGCGTAAACGTGTTTCCGCCGTGCTCTACCAAAAGTACAAAAACCGCAGTTCGTGCCTGAACCCAGGCAGCAAGGAAATCCCAAAGGGATCCCCGGATTGTCTGAGTGGCTTAACATTTGTGGTAACCGGAGTCCTTGAGTCCATGGAACGGGAGGAGGCGGAGTCTGTGATCAAGGAGTATGGCGGAAGGGTTATGACCGTGGTCGGAAAAAAACTTAAGTATCTGGTCGTAGGAGAAGAAGCTGGGCCAAAGAAATTGGCTGTGGCTGAGGAACTCAATATACCCATTCTCAGCGAGGACGGGCTCTTCGATCTAATCAGGGAGAAATCAGGAATGGCTAAGCAAGTAAAGGAGGAGAAAAAGAGCCCCAAGGAGGAGCATGGCTCCGAGGAGAAAGAGAGGAAGGAGGTCAAGACTTCTAGAAGGTCCAATGATAAAAAGGAGAAGGAGGTCACTAAACATAGAAGTGGTGAGATGCATGATGTCGCCAAACATAAAGTCAAGAAAGAACACACTTCTCCCAAGGAGATGATGGAAAAGCTGAATAATGTGCCGGCTGTTACATTGAAAGTAAAAAAGGAGCCCAGCTCCCAGAAAGAAAACTATCCATCGCCAAGAACTGCCGAACTGAAGACTCAGGATGTGGTCGGGATGGCCTGGGTGGACAAGCACAAGCCTACGAACATAAAAGAAATAGTTGGCCAGGCAGGAGCCGCCAGCAACGTGACCAAGTAAGTAACCCAAATGTATAAATAACTTAAAGATTATATTTAAGGGCGGTTTAGAACTTACCAAAATAAAATTTTTACAACAAAACACGGAACAGTCACGTGTTGAAGCTGGAAGCTAAACGCCCTTAATAATAATTAACGTATTTCTTACTTTGTTAATTACATAAATTAAATTTCCCTAGGCTGATGAACTGGCTGTCCAAGTGGTACGTAAACCATGATGGAAACAAGAAGCCCCAACGACCCAATCCTTGGGCCAAGAACGACGATGGCAGCTTCTACAAGGCGGCCCTGCTTTCGGGACCCCCTGGAATAGGAAAGACCACGACGGCGACTCTAGTAGTGAAGGAGCTTGGCTTCGATGCGGTGGAGTTCAACGCCTCTGACACACGCAGCAAACGCTTGCTCAAGGATGAAGTATCCACGCTGCTAAGCAACAAATCTCTCTCTGGATACTTTACAGGGCAAGGACAAGCGGTCTCCCGAAAGCACGTGCTCATTATGGACGAAGTTGATGGAATGGCCGGTAACGAGGACCGTGGTGGAATGCAGGAGCTGATCGCCTTGATTAAGGATAGCTCTATTCCGATTATTTGCATGTGTAATGATCGCAACCATCCGAAGATTCGGTCCCTGGTAAACTACTGCTATGATCTGCGATTCCAGAGACCTCGTCTCGAGCAAATCAAAGGAAAAATAATGAGCATCTGCTTCAAGGAGAAAGTTAAGATATCACCCGCAAAAGTGGAAGAAATTATAGCGGCTACCAACAACGATATTCGGCAATCCATTAACCACATTGCTCTGCTGAGCGCCAAGGAAGATGGTTCCCAAAAATCCGGGCAACAGGTTGCCACCAAGGATCTGAAGCTGGGGCCCTGGGAGGTGGTGCGAAAAGTCTTTACAGCAGACGAGCACAAACATATGACCCTCGGCGACAAGAGCGACCTTTTCTTTCACGACTACAGCCTGGCGCCTCTCTTCGTGCAGCAAAACTATCTCCAGGTCCTACCGCAGGGGAACAAGTAAATCTAGTTTATCCAACGGCGTGCCCATTAACCAACTCCGTTCTTTGCAGGAGCGATGTCCTGGCCAAGGTGGCAGCTACGGCAGATGCCCTAAGCTTGGGCGACCTTGTTGATAAGCGAATTCGTGCGAACTCTGCTTGGAGTCTTCTGCCCACTCAGGCCTTTTTTAGCTCTGTCCTTCCTGGCGAGCACATGTGTGGTCACTTTACTGGACAGATCAACTTTCCTGGGTGGCTGGGCAAGAATTCCAAGTCTGGAAAACGTGCCAGGCTTGCCCAGGAGCTGCACGATCACACTAGGGTCTGCACCTCGGCTTCAAGACTATCGGTGAGGCTGGATTACGCCCCCTTCCTGCTCAATAATATTGTGCGACCTTTGGCAAAGGATGGGCAGGAGGGAGTGCCCGCTGCTTTAGAGGCTATGAAGGATTACCATCTACTCCGCGAGGATCTGGACTTGCTGGTCGAGCTTACCTCCTGGCCGGGCAAGAAATCCCCCCTAGATGCAGTGGATGGGAGGGTAAAAGCTGCTTTAACGCGATCCTACAACAAAGAGGTTATGGCATACTCCTATTCCGCTCAAGCTGGCATTAAGAAGAAAAAATCAGAGGCTGGTGGCGCGGATGACTTGGCCGAAAATTCGGGCGAAGAGGACGGAACTCACATATCTTCAGAGGAAGACGAAGACAAGGACAACATCGAGCTGGATGCTTTGATCAAAGCTAAAAGAAAGACAACTACGTCAAAATCAGCTGGTGGATCCAAAAAGGCATCATCTTCTACGGCTTCAAAGCCTAAGGCCAAGGCCAAAAAGTAAACGCACTAAAGATTTCGTATATTATATGATTTTTTTTGCCATAAAATTTCTCATTTAGTAGTAATTTTTGTTTAGATTCTTGCCAGCACTGGCTATAAAAATATAAATGTACCAATAAAATACGTGCTTAAATTACAAAACTTATCCAAGGACATGTACCCATTTACTATAACAGTGGCATATTATTTTTACCTGGATAGTGCTATAAATTGAGAGCGTGAACAAGAAAAATGTAAGTACATATATTGTCTTTTACTCTTTAAACTGAAAATGACCTGGGTAATAAAACAATTGTCTGTTGGGCCAATGATACTGCAAACTGCTTTTTAAAATGGTAATTTCATTTGCTTTAATTGTGTTATGATCAAGATACTGAGCCGCGAGATAAAGAATTTAAATAACAAAAATAATCGATACTATCGTATTTGGAAAGGCTTTTTTGATCAATATTTTTATAAAACAATGTTTCAAATTTAAGTTAATAATTTGTATTAATGTTATATATAAGAGCTGTTCCCATTTTGATATGCTATCTTGTAGAATCTCAAATGTCTATAACTGGGATCCATTTAATAAGAAAAAATGTTCGGAAACGATTGAATTGTGAATTAGTTAGCCTGTTAAATAATGCATAGGTAAAGTTAATCATATGGTTGACTGTCGTAAGACTTATTTATTTCTTCTAACGTGTTTGCCTGAAAACAATCGATGGTGCCACCAGCCGATATTGTGGTAATCGATGTTTCGACAGCCCTGCTATCTCGTAGTAGCGCCAAAGAGTATCGTATCTGAGTTTTTTCCCCGATGTCAACGCGAACGGATGCACGTACTGGGCAGCGGAAAAAGCAGTGAAAATTGCCAGAAAAGTTAGGGGACATCATGTGCGGGCAAATCCAACCGAAGCATTTGATTCACTGCGAGAGTGCGCGATCATCCACTTGATTTTCCGTGATTGCCTGCCACGTTCGACGGGTTTCGCGTTCTATATTTTTCGCATTGAAAATTCTCGGCTTACGCGCGCCTGTGTGTGTGAGTGTGTATCTGTATCCGTGTAAAGGGCGCAGCTCGGCGAAAAACAACACCCAGAAATGAGCGATTTCATCCTGGCGTCGCGCTTTTAATCAAATTGAAATTAATTGTAGTTCAAAGCGTCGTGCTCGTCTGCTTTTCTTTGTTTTTTGCGCAACTCGCTGTGCTGAAAATTCAATAAGCACGTAAATTCCAGCACACACATACGACCTCAGCCGCGCACGCACACACATACAACGCTGCTGAGCTGGGCGACCGCAAGCGAGAGCGAGAGCGAGCGCGCGATAGAGCAGGCAAGTGCAGACTCTGCTCCCCTCCCACACCCCTGCCGCACCAGCCACCCCATTTCTGTTGTTGTTGGGCCAGGCACAAGGACACTCTCTGCCTCCCAGCTCACGCACACATGCTCACGCCCGAGAGCCAGAGTCTTACGGCCGTCACCTCTTCTCGGTAAACAGGTGCCGCGCCTAGTGCCGTTACTTTGCCTGCCTTCGGAGGGCTTCGTGCTCCGTGTTTTGGCAGCACATGTTTACCTTTTAGCACTCGTCCAAACGTCATTATAGTAAGGGTGAATACAGGGGTCAAGTGGGGGGAGTGTTGTGAATGAGGGATTCGGGTAAACGAATCTTTCAGCTCATCGCTGTCGCCAATATCCCTTTCACGCTGCATGCACAGTGAAAAAGTAAACAGCACTGGCATTAACATAAGTACTCGTAATGCATTTTTCGCCCACCATTTCTTATTTCTGCTTATAGCAAACAAGTTCAAACAAGTTGAAAAGAGTACTAGTGGTGTAAATATGGTTTTTGGCTTTTAGATAGATTTTATACGTGTGTGACGCCAGTTGTAACAAATGTTGTTAAATTTACTTTGGATGTTGTCATATGTATATATTGTAAAATACATACCTACATGTAAGATAGAGTTTGTTTTTGTTTGATTTGGGATATCTTTAACGCTATGTAAAAATTTAGAAACGGATTAAATTTTTTTATTACTCTTAGTTGGAGCACCAATTTTCCCCTTATTTATATTTTCAAGCTGATTCCAATTTCCTTGCGTTTTTCTTTTCATCTACACGCATCCTTCCTCATTTTTTATCGCCCTTTTCACATTTCTCTGCACACAGCGCTCCGAATTCAGGTCATTCCATTTGTTCGACGAGCCACCCATCCAAACGCCCACTTTTCGACCACCCCCCACTTCTACGTTCCTCCTACATGTGATGTTTACTTTTCAATAGATTTCGCTTTCGTTGACTCGAAAGTCTGTAATAAGACAAGTTTTTGTTATTTTCCACCTTATGGAACTTCTCATTTTTATCGCCTTATGAGGTCAGCGCATTTTTCGTCCCTATTTGCATAGTGACGAAGCTCTCCAATAAAAAGGCTCCGCAAAAAGACCGAAACTGATATCAGAGACCTTCCGATAAATGGTTCGCGATAGGGCAGAACAAGGAACACAGCTACAGCTGGTAACTCCTAACGGGTTCAATATCTTTATCAAGGCTGCAGAAACAACACCCAGAAATCAAATAGATAAGCCATGGGGGAACGACAGTAAAATGGCCTTTGCGCATCTGTATGTACATATTTTGACTAAATGCAAGATATTCCGTCTGTGAAAACATAGTATAGTTCGCCCTACAGTAGTTTTCACTGTGCGCCATACTTATGCACTCTGGTTACACGGTTTCTTATCAGCAGAACGCGGTGTGTGTGGGAGAACTGCTTGGGGCGGGGTGCGGCAGAGATAAGCCAGCGACAACACACTTCACTGAAGAGAGCGGAACCGAAGCCGTCAAAAATACCCGTTTGTTTTTGGCAAGTCAACAGCCCCTGTGACATCACCATTGGACCGCTTTTAACATCGATCAAAGTCGCTGCCTAAGCGTTTGCAATGTAGAAAACTAGTGGCTTTCGTCATGTTTAGTGCGTATTACATAGGGGTAACTGACAAATGAATGCATTTACAGAAGCAGGAATTGCAGTCTAAAATAATATATTTATTTGCTACACTGTCAACAGAAATCTTAATTATTACTAAGACCCAAAGCGTTTCAGTTGGGATATCTATTCCTCTTATGGCAATGTCTAGGCCATTACACGGATGCATTTCGAAAATAGAGGCCGAAACAGGAACAACTTGTCTTAGCTTGTTGTCCAAAAGAGAACGCGTTATTCGTGCAGACGAAATGGGTTAACAGTGACTCTGAGACTCTGAAGACTATTTGGTCTATTTGTCGTTGAATCCCAGAGATACACAGATACAACACACCTTTGTGTGCTGGTGGCCGCATTGGCCCGGCTAAATAAAGTTGCAAGCCCGCTTTCAGGCCATATACATAAATATTTAATTCGCGATCTCAATTCGCTTTGCAGCTTTCTGGGCATTTTTCCCTTTCGTGTAAGCCAGCGAAAAGCGGAGAACAAATATCACAATGGGGGTGGTCGTTGATGTGCGTTCCACCCCTGTTCTCCTTTGTTTTTCGGCGGTTTAATTGAAATTTGTTGTCTCGCCAGTGATTTACACTCGTTAGCAGGTTTTCTTGTTTTGGTCAAAGCATAAAACCATTAACATTTCCGTTTTCAGCTGCCTGAGTATCGAAATGTATCTGGTGTCACGGCCTCTCTGTCATGTGCTGAATATAAATTAAGCACAGTCAATGTGGTTGATCCCGGTACAGTGGACTCTGGAAAACAACCAACAGTGCTTCGCAATAAATAATCACCAATAAAGTATTTTGGAATTCTCTTCCTACAATTTGCTTAATTGATTCCTGTCCCACATAAATCAAGATTTCATCTAGTGCTAAAAACTTTTGCATTGCATTCATTTAAAAGATTGCTTTAACATTGTTGGGAATCCTTTGGAGAAGAGGCTTCAAAAACCGTTTGTAGAGCGTTCTACTCAACTGTCTCATACGAGACGCTCGTGTCAAGATAACACAAGTCCCTCAAGAACTTTTATCATTTCTTCTCCATGCACACGATTTTGCAATCTTTAGGTGGCTTTTATCGTGCTTTGTTCAACAAATTGCCATAATTTGCTGTAAATTCCAACTAGTGTTGCCACTAGTGGTCCGCTCGGCGGGTGAGGTGGTTCGGGCTGTCTAATCAATACCCAGAGCCACTTGTTTGTTCTGTCGAAGTCTTGTCCAGCTGTCACTTCGTACTGAGCAGGGGTCTTGTTCACATGCGACTATATCTGTGGATGTCGGGGTATCTGCGAGCTACCCGCGACAATACTAATTGATTTCCACACAGGCACAGTCCCTTTCGAGTTTTCTTCTGCAGTTTGTGTTCGTTCATAAGTTTCTTCTTTATTGCATTATTGCTGTCTTGCAAACTAGCAAATAATTCGTGAAAGGCGTTGCGTACCTTGGGAAAATAGTTTTTGCTGCTGATAGAATAGCAAAGAGAAACCCTTTTCCAGTAAAGTATCTCAAGGCACCACATCGTTATAAATATAACAAGATTGAAGGCTTTGGCTCATGGCGCACAGATAGCAATTAAGCGATTCTGGCTATTCTAAGGAACATCACATGCTGACTAGTAGAAATGCAGACGAGGAAGGGCTGGCTCAGGAAAAATTTGCCACACACATGTCCCCCTGAACGTATATTGCTCAGATGCTGTACCCCTATGCCTCCAAGTGTGTGCCATAAGGAAAGGCTGTACACCGCGCAGTAAACAAAGAGCCGAGTCATATAAAAGAGCAACTGGCTGTGGTTGTAGGGTATGGTGTGGGTATGCGTAGGGCGGGGGACTTTAAATAAATATTTTAATGAACTGCACTAAAGGCTGTGCCGACCGACGCCTAAAAAGAGTTGACTTTGAAACGCACTGACTGGCTGCCAGTAGCAACAAATAAAAGAAAGTCCGCCTGGCTGACAGACAAGCGGAGTGCATCCTTTTATACTCACATACTCGCACATTAATTCTGTGTGTGCATTTTATTTTTAGACCACTGTAGAACGTGGAAAAAATGGGAAGTGGAGGCCGTCCATATCTACCATGTGGGATGTAAAAGAGATTTTTTCGTTGAAGTTTTAATTTTTCTTTCTTTGCCTCTCTGCCAACACCCAGCTGCAATTGTTGTTCTTCCCCGGCAAA